ATAAGTATTGTCCGCATTAATCTGGAAAAACTAGCATAACCTCAAAACAGTGAATGTTGTAGAGCGGATTTTTGACCGGTTAAGATAGGTTTGTCTTGAAATTTCAAGGTGTTGCAGTGAATCAATCTTAAGGAACGTTTCAGACATTATTATATACATTATGAAGATTATGTGAAGAGAGGTAAAAAAAATCGTTCGAGTCGTTTCAGAGACATACATAAAAGCGCTAAAAGTCCAAATTTTGAATGAAGTTAAACTTATACAGGTGGTGAGAAAACGGGTTAGTTTTCAATATCGCGAGAACGAAAATACACCAAAATCTCCTAGCATCAAAATATGATATTAAGCAGCATTCTGACACTTCTTAAGAATAATTTGAGTCATTTATAAATTTTTTATTAAATAATCTATCACAGCAATTGAAAGTTTAAGGTTTGAAATATATTTTCGTTTTAGTCGAATTCGAATATACAGAATTTTTTACTTCTTACGGAGATTGTTTGCTGAACACCAAACTTTAAGTTCCTAGTGTTGGATTTTCATAAGCTGGTTTCGATCACAGAAAATTCGGCTGTTGTCAATTTCAAAGTTTTTTGTTTATTGTTGTCATAGTAATATCGATTTTACTTAAAACTACACTTTGACAAATTTCAATCCATAGCCAATTACTGGTGAAAATTTTATAGCGATCAGACAAGGAAAAAACCAGTTTTAAGGCGATTGAAAAATATCGGTATGGCCTTCGAAAAACTGTATCGAAACACTTCCAGGAACAATAGGTTATGTAAATATCATGAAGTGTCCATTTTGGAGTAGCTTTACCACTACCTATCAAAATAAGATACGAAACCTCATTTACTTTCGATAACGTGGCGGAACAAATACACTAAACCGATAATTCAATTAAAATGTAGTAATGTTAAATATCCCAGCGCAAAGCAAGCCAGTATATATATATATCGGTATTTGGTAGGATGCTAAGCGTGCTAAGTGGCTGACAGAGCGACTCTAAAACCTGCGGAAGTCTCACGCGATTATAATGCCTTCCTGTGGACTCGATACTTCCAAAATCATGGCGGCGAGTCCAATTCACAGCCAAACCGGCTGTATTATTACTACTCTAAAGATCATTATTTTATGTATTATAACTCTAAAAAATGCTGAGACTGTACTAGTCCAGCTAATTTATCGCCTGATGTGCTGTATATAGCCAACTCTCTCTTGACGGACATCTTTAATTTGGATCGGCGATATTTATCCGTCGTAAAGAAATATTTGTCGTATGAAGAGTCAACTAAGGGAGTGAAGAATGGCAGGGACTAATTCGAGGTGTCGCTCGCCGTTTTAGCGAGTTGTCCATCTTCTAGAAGTGTTAATTAAGGGACAGTTATTAAAATAATATGAGCTATTTACAGATTTACATCTATTACGAGAAAGGTCGTCGGAAAAAGTGCACGCGACAATCGCGAAAGGTATTGTAGTGGATGGTTTTGAGTTCAATGTTGTTCAAAACTGAATTTGAAACACTGGCACAAGAGGCCATGGACGTATGTTTGCGAGTGCTAAAGGAAAGCAACAAAAGTAGATTCCATAGCTTCAGTGTCAGGAACAGTGTGAGGATAATGATCATATCCCATGTTATCTTTCGAGATTGTGGCCTGCACATTCCGACAACCTTTCTCGAAATAGCTGTATATAAAACTGCAAGTTTATCAAATGGCTTTACTGACAAATGTAAACTAGACCTATTCCCGCTTTGTTCATATCTACAACTATAGCTCTGTCACTAATATCCTTAAGTATCTTTGAACAAATGAGTTCCCCACGTCAGGATCAAAGACCACCCTATCTCTCGTGATTTCTTTCCCAGAAACCAAAATTACTCGCGGATAAGTAACTGAAGCACGTCTCTCAGTCTTGCATTGTTTCTCTTGGTCAGTCGTTACGGTTTTATTTTGAGGCACCGATCCTAAACCTGGGCGATCCTGAGAGACTTGGGTGGTTTGTTTTTCCAAAGCAGGGCTCTGTTTAGATGATTCTAAATCGTCAGAAAAAAAATAGTAAAAATAATTATAGTAATAATAGTAATAAAAATTATAATTATAATAATAAATTCTTTATTATTATTATTGATTACTATTTAAAAACATATCTAATGTCACAAAGTCGATAAGAGGAAAGCTATATAAATTGAAGAAAAAACTAGTAAATGGAAGAGAATAAGACAAAAACCTAATAAATAATAAATAATCATCAAAAGGAGCTACAGTTAAAAAATGAGTCTTTTTATATAAATGTATTCTATAAAAACTCCTAATATGTTTCTTGGACATATTCTTCATGATTAACATAGGAGAATTCAAAAAGATACAAATCGTAATAATAATAATAATAATAATAATAATAATAAGATGATACGAGATGACACCGAAACGTCGTTCTTTCTTGCTTGCCCGCGTTGTTTTTTTAACTTGTTTTTGTATTACTAATCCTTTGTTTATTAATACTTAATGATAATTGAATAATAGAGAGCGTTTCCCTAGTAATCATAAGTTTACTGGTAAATGTCTGTTGCGAGCCATCACAAGTTCCATACAAATCCATCTTCACTCTATTACTCTTCCGGTCGACTCCAGAGGGAGTTCTCAATTCTTATCATTTATAATATTTCTAGGGCAAATTCATCTTTGAACAATTTCAGAGAAGTTTGAGTCCGTCTATATTACTGAAAATTATACAGTTTTTTAATATTCAAAGAGTTTTAAATGTTTATTTCTTTTCCTCTTTTCCCGTGCTCCCTGGCTCCACATATTAGTAAAAACAATCTAAGGCACACCCAGTTATGGAATTCCCATGCATATGTGCAAACCCATCCTTGGAGACCCAGGGGCAGATAGTGGGGACGAGGGAAAGTCTAAACAGGCAGGAAACAAATTGGCGCGAAGAAAAGTAAAGAACATTCTTCACTTTTTTTCGCACCTTTTTTTTCCCGCCCTTTTAGACTTTTCCTCGCCTCCACTATCTGCCCCTGAGTCTCCGAGGATGGTGCAAACCTGAATTCTCGGCCGTGAGGATCCGTTTTCCGTGTCGATACTCCTCCTCAGAAATGAACACTGTCAGCTTCACGTCATCAATACCAAGGATTTCTAAGACCTCGTGTGTCACCAGCGTTTCTTGAACCACTTGATTAAGGTGACCGATGACGTAATCTTCCCACAATCCTTCAAGGATCTGCAGTGAGCTACATTTCACAGTTATCAATAGACTTCCCAGTTCAATGTCTTCAATAAAGATATTCAAAGTATTTCCTAGATATCCAAAAAGTAATCTGAAAGGGTGATCGAAATCTACGATAACATTCCATAAGTCTACCTCTGCTGGAATTTCCTGTTGATTTCTTTGCATTTCACCAGGGGTGACCACCACTCCATACTGAAGGAAGCTTTTGATGGCCATCCCAACCCGTAGCATTGCTGTTGGGAAATCGATAGAGCCATTGATTAATCTTCAATGAGTACAGTTCGCTTTGAACATAAGATACTTATGCGCAAACATTCATGGCAGCCATATAGAAATTCACGTAACACTCAACTTCATTTCCCATTATAGCTCTTGCTTGAACTGATGGATTTTGCTACAAGTCGCCCAGTCAAAGGGTCCTAGTAGTGCAAGAATAACAATTTACCGCGAAGAGTTAGACTGCATTCCTCTTTTATTGCTCTCGATCTTTCCTTTTCCTTCTTTTCTCTATCAAGTTTTGTTGTTTGCTTTCATAGGAGACACCACTGAATGTTCGCCTGTTTGATTCGCATTTGCCGCTAGTGCGACTTCCCGACAGACAGACAATAAATCCCGCATCCCGTGCCCATATTTTGGTGCAGCGGACAAATCCCGTTAAGATATTTTGCACTGTCACCAATCCCGCACCGTATGTTGTCAAATCCCGGATCCCGAAAATGCCCTTCTAGACCCTGTGAAAAGGGTTTTAGGTGAATAGCGAAATTGGCAGTGGAATTTTCCCAAAACTGATGTTAGTAAGCTTTTGTCTGCAACTCTGACAGGATCGGTTAGACTTTCCAAGATGAGGTATCTGATCAGTGCAAAGATCTACCTTTTCGTTTTAAAATTGCCAACTAAATCACTTATATGAAAGCAAAGTCACTTGAGAAAAGCATAATATTAATCGTTCCATACTGACACGAAATGACCCGACCCGTAGCCAACGAGTAAAGATTAATTACTTAAGCGTTGAATCTTAAACTGACCGTCTTGCTGATCTCTTGTGTCCTTCCGTAGTTCTTTGACTTCCTGAACAAGTTCTCGTAACACTTTTGTATTGTCGATGTCTTTTTGGTACTACAGCTCTAGTTCTTCGGCGTATCTTTCTTCCCCTGGCGTGAAAGGGTCACGAAGGAATTTCTCCATAGCATCTTTCCAGTTGTTTTGTTTTTCGGGGCAAAGGTGTGCTGCAATCCTCAAAACGCTTCACTGATTTTCCCCCAGCGGTCAAGAAACTCTCCATCAGGAATTTCCAAATTGTTGCTGTGGGCATAAACTTCATTGCGATAATATTTTATTCGTAACAGGTCTGCTCCAAGACTGTGGTCGACATCGTTTGGTACCTTCACTTCGAAATCACTTGCACTTGAAAACAGATTTTCGCCAAACAAGGAAGCCAAACAGTACCTTAACTGATCGATGAAATGCAAAAAGCGTTGCCTAAACACGGCTTCACATTTACGGCGAACATCCGTCAGCAAAAGCAAATATCAACTATCGTCACGAGGCTAGTTTCTATCCTGTTTTTTATATGCAACCCTTCTTCAGTTTTCAATAATACTTTTATTAGTAAAAAAAGGCAAACCCAGTTACGGAATTCCCATGCATATGTGCAAACCCATCCTGGGAGACCCAGGGGCAGATTAAAAAAAAAAAATTGGCGCGAAGAAAAGTGAAGAACATTCTTTACTTTTCTATGCACCATTTTTTTCCCCGTCCTTTTAGACTTTTCCTCGCCTCCAATATCTGCCCCTGGGTCTCCGAGGATGGTGCAAACCTGAATTCTCGGCCGTGAGGATCCGTTTTCCGTGTCGATACTCCTCCTCAGAAATGAACACTTTCAGCTTCACGTCATCAATACCAAGGATTTCTAAGACCTCGTGTGTCACCAGCGTTTCTTGAACCACTTGATTAAGGTGACCGCTGACGTAATCTTCCCACAATCCTTCAAGGATCTGCAGTGAGCTACATTTCACAGTTATCAATAGACTTCCCAGTTCAATGTCTTCAATGAAGACATTCAAAGTATTTCCTAGATATCCAAAAAGTAATCTGAAAGGATGTTCGAAAGCTACGATAACGTTCCATAAGTCTACCTCTGCTGGAATTTCCTGTTGGTTTCTTTGCATTTCACCAGGGGTGACCACCACTCCATACTGAAGGAAGCTTTCGATGGCCATCCCAACCCGAAGCATTGCTGTTGGGAAATCGATAGAGCCATTGATTAATCTTCAATGAGTACAGTTCACTTTGAACATAAGATACTTATGCGCAAACATTCATGGCAGCCATAAAGAAATTCATGTAACATGCACTCAACTTCATTTCCCATTATGGCTCTTGCTTGAACTTATGTTTTGCTACAAGTCGCCCAGTCAAAGGGTCCTAGTAGTGCTAGTGTAACAATTTACCGCAAAGATTTAGACTGCATTCCTTTTTTATTGCTCTCGATCTTTCCTTTTCCCTCTTTTCTCTCTCAAGTTTTGTTGTTTACTTTCATGGGAGACACCACTGAATGTTCGCCCGTTTGATTCGCATTTGCCGCTAGTGCGACTTCCCGACAGACAGGCAATAAATCCCGCATCCCGTGCCCACATTTTGATGTAGCAGTCAAATCCCGTTAAGATATTTTGCACTGTCACCAATCCCGCACCGTACGTTAGTCAAATCCCCGATCCTGAAAATGCCCTTCTAGACCCTGTGAAAAGGGTTTTAGGTGAATAGCGAAAATGGCAGTGGAATTTTCCCAAAACTGATGTTAGTAAGCTTTTGTCTACAACTCTGACAGGATCGGTTAGACTTTCCAAGATGAGGTATCTGATCAATGCAAAGATCTATACCGTTTCGTTTTAAAATTGCCAACTAAATCACTTATATGAAAGCAAAGTCACTTGAGAAAAGCATAATATTAATCGTTCCATACTGACCCGAAATGACCCGACCCGTAGCCAACGAGTAAAGATTAATTACTTAAGCGTTGAATCTTAAACTGACCGTCTTGCTGATCTCTTGTGTCCTTCCGTAGTTCTTTGACTTCCTGAACAAGTTCCAGGGGCACCCAACGAGGATATAGTTCAAAACCACCTAAACATAGCATTGTTGAACGTAATTTAGTATTTAAACGATAGATAAATGCTTATTTTTATCCCCTAAAAATTTTTCATCTGTTCGGATTTCCTAGCTGAAAGTATAGTGATCCGAAAATTATAGGGATCAATATTTACCTTTTCGAAAATTTCAGCCAGAAAAAAGGCTCCCGAAAATTCTAGGTGACCTTTTTAGGGTAAAAATCTGTTTAAAATGGGCAATTATACCATTTTTTTGATGTTCGAAAATCCAAGGAGAGGCAGGCAAGCAAGAAATTTTACAGAAAATGATCCGAAAATTCTAGGTCTCAAATCGTCTTCCGAACAGATAATTTTCCGAAAATTATCGTTGGGTGCCCCTGAAGTTCTCGTAACACTTTTGTGTTGTCGATGTCTTTTTGGTACCACAGCTCTAGTTCTTCGGCGTATCTTTCTTCCTCTGGCGTTAAAGGGTCACGAAGGAATTTCTCCATAGCATCTTTCCAGTTGTTTTGTTTTTCGGGGCAAAGGTGTGCTGCAATCCTCAAAAGTGCTTCACTAATTTTCCCCCAGCGGTCGAGAAAATCTTCATCAGGAATTTCCAAATTGTTGCTGTGGGCATAAACTTCATTGCGATAATATTTTATTCGTAACAGGTCTGCTCCAAGACTGTGGTCGAAGTCGTTTGGTAGGCTGTACCATCCTGTCGGGGGAGAGGTCAAGCTGCATATTGTTCTCAGCAGCTTGCAGATTAAACTGATATCAAAATCGCTCGACTTTCCGTATACCCCTGGGGAAGGGTACAAACAATTCCACTCTGGTCTGGTAAGTCTAGCTTCCCTCAGCTGTCTTTCTACTGAAGGGTCACTAAGCGTTGTGGGAAGGTTGGCGTGGCTGTGAATGGAGTCGAATACCTCTCTTAAAAGCACTGCACCACCGCACATCAGAAGCCGTGTCAAGCGCTGAAAATTAGATTTTTGCTTCGTTGATCGCAATGCTTCTTCTGCCTCTGAAAGGGACGCCCGTATGCGAACACCAGTTGGTCAACAGTTGGATATCATTCGTTACGATACAATTTCTGTAACACAAACAAATTTGGAACCTGATTAAGGACATTTTCACCATGAACTTCAGTACTATGCGACCTTCAGTTCGAAATCACTTGCACTTGAAAACAGATTTTCGCCAAACAAGGAAGCCAAACACCTTAACTGATCGATGAAATGCAAACAGCGTTGCCTAAACACGGCTTCACATTTACGGCGAACATCCGTCAGCAAAAGCAAATATCAACTATCGTCACGAGGCTAGTTTCTATCCTGTTTTTTATATGCAACCCTTCTTCAGTTTTCAATAATACTTTACTTCGATACCCAAATTTTTAAAAGAAAATAGTACGAATAAGACTTAACTGCAGAATACCCTGCCACTTTAAAGCAACCCCTTAAAACTAGGCGGATATGCGGATACTAAAATCACTACATATCCGCGTATACACTTAATAAATATCCTCTAAATAATTAAGTCAATGCGTATCCGCGTATCCACTTCGATATACACTTAAGACAGCATATGACACTTATAGTATGTCTATTTGTCGTTCTTAAAGCCACTGAAGGTAAAGAAGCGCATAAAACGGCGATAACTGCGTATTCACGTATCCAGCTCTTTCAGAGATAGAGCTTGGAAGTGGCAGGGTATTTTGCAGTTACTACCCAATAATTAATCTGTAAATTATTCTAATTACTGACAGGTTTCGCCCCTAGCAGTGCAGTATCTTGCAATGAACGACATTAAGAGGAGGGCGGGAGGTGACGGGGAGAGCTGATCGCGTGACGGCAGTAAATACAGTCTACCGGAGTCTACCGAAATAGCAAAACTTTCCAATTCCACTCAAACAGTTCAAGATGAAATATTTTCCCTAAAAAGCTATAATTACCAAACTTCAAACGAACAAACTGAACGGAGCTTTGATCTCTGAGTTTAGTTTACGCTCGATCGTATCTCTTGTTAACATGATTGAGCGGTTCTACAGGACACCTTATGGAATATTTTAATCAAAAACAGTTTTCAAACTTTCGCATCCACAGTGCACTCCTGGTGATACAGCTACCTCTTAATTCAATCTTGATTTCGGAAAATACTTTAAAAAGAGGCAATATTACTCCCATCACACAAGAATCATGGGTTGTATTGCATTACTATGCGGCGGCAAAACGAACTAGCGATCAATTCCGTGAAGTCGTAGACCCAACATACCCTGACATACTGCATCAGATAGTGATCAGTTTATGTGTGTAAGGGCAATTTTATCTATAGTGAGTCAGTGTAAAACATAAATACCAAAGGATAGAGGCAATGCAAAAGTTACTCACCAAAGCTCTTCTTCTTTAGACATCTTTTTAACATCGTGGAAAGATGAATAAGCCTACAATGATTTCTGGGAAATTAGGTATCTAATAGGGGTAAGACTAATCTTTGGAACTGCAGACCGCGGAACAGCGGAACCTGCGGAACCTAAAAAAAATGACTATTTTTTTACAACTCCCTTTGGCTAACGGGATAAATAGTTAGTTACAATTATTTTTTTACAATTTTTTTACAATGATTTTTCGCCCGTGGATTGGTCGAGCTATTGCCGATAACAGTACAGACCACTGAACACTGTTTTCGATTTCCGAAACAGGAAGTTCACAGACTTCCGGCTTGTTAGTGGTCGTCGAAAGGAAACGAGAGGTATAATCTTAAACCGGGATGAGAGAACGATGAGCGTATACTATTATTGGTGCCTGAAGTTAAGGCGTTAACCGACGTATTATTCCATCCCTTACCTAAATACCTTTCATCCCACTATTAAATTCATATCAAACTGCTCATTTAAATCTTTCTCCTTTCCCTTGGTCAAGGTGTCCCCCAATGATGGTCTCGATCATTGAAATTGTTCTTTATAGTTAAAACTACGGAGGAACATTAGTACCTTTTACGCTCATCATGTCACCCCTTTTCACCCTAAACGAGCTTTTCCAGTCAGCCTTTCCCTGAGAATATTCCTCCAACGAGACGTTCAAACTGCGTTGTAACGAACTAACACAAGCACAATAACAATACCTTAATAGATGTGGATAAAATCGCGGTCTCCTCAGCCAGGAGACACAAGCGACTCACCCACACGTATCCCTCTAGTTGTCGGATACCACCCAGCCACTCGCTTGATATCTTCTATTTTTCACAAACACACATTCTCTCATCCTCCCAACTTTGTGCTGCTTTTAAAATATATACCTCTCGTTGGTCCCTTATTTTCCGCAAGAGAACGAGAACGAGCCCTGCAGGGGGCCATCTTGACAGGGTCTAGCTTGAACTACTTAAAGGGAACCCCGAGGCCCGCCCTTTCCGCGTTACATTTGAATCCAATTACAAAATGGCTGCAGTGAAGGTGAGCGCTCGAGTCGACGATCTTAAGGACAAATAGGGGACTGTGAACAGTGTATCAATGTTATAATTGATTGTAACGAATTATTTTATCATGCTAGCCAAGGGGAATTGTAATAAAACAGTCATTTCTTTAGGTTCGAAAGGTTCCGCCGGTTCTGCAGCTTCCGCTGTTTCGCGGAATGCAGTTCCGCAGATTAGTCTTACCCACCTAATAGTAGGTAGCAGCTGCTCGAGACCCCAAACAATACTAAAACAATTGGAGGAATGACATGTCATTCATTGTTTCCTGAGACCAATTAGGAGAGACCTTTCGAGCAGCTCCTTTTTGTTCGCTAAATCTATAGATCGTTTTCACTCACGTGGCCAGTATCTATGCAAATTTATTGGGACAAAAGAAAGCATTTACATAAGAAAAGGTTTCGACTCCCAGAGGATTTTCCAGGTACACCATCATGGCCGCCGTTTCATTGTTTTGGAACACTAATATGGCCGCCGTGACGTCATGTGAAAACGCTCTATTGCTTTTTAATGTTTATTTTTATTTGCGTGGCTTCTCGCACAAGTTCTCGATTTCGTGTTATATTTCGTGTAGTTTCTTAAAGTTTTCTGGATATCAGTTTCAGTTAAAAATACTCTGTTAGGTGTTGAATAAGAATTCATTTAGAAGTATCAGAACAAACGTCAAAATCGGGATTTTTCTCATCCCGATCTCATATTGGTCTGGATTCGAGATTTTCAAGCAAATTCGAGGGAATCCCGACGAAATCGGGATGGTTGGACAGTACGTCTGAAAACGTGATTGCAAATCTCTCTATCTGTAGTTAGTGCCTGTGTGTACATCCATTGAATAAAGACCTTACGGACGTCTCTCAAGCTATCATCGTCGCTTCTTGTGAGTGCCTTCTTCAAATGATAGTAGGATAGGTCGTTTTAGCGGCGTTGAAGCTTAATTAAACCGCTTAATAAGTGTTTTCTCTCCCAAAATGTGAAGGCAAAATTTCTCCCTTTTTACTGCAATTCTCTCTCTGCGTGTGAAAAGTCATTCCTTGTCGGAAACTGATACTCATTGTAAATCGCCGCGTCAAATAGAAAAATATTCACCTGGATTGTCCAAAAAGGCTTTAAACACAACATCAGACAAAAACAAAGCTAAAACGTTATTTGCTTTGTAAAGGAAACTACTGCTATATAACAAAATTTTTAGACAGTAAAAGTTGACTCTGTCATGTCACGTTTTATTAGCGTATAGCCTGCGAAAACAGCCGTTTCTCCTCTCTCGTCGCCGCTGGGGAGGTTTCGCTGGGGTTAAAATAAATGTTCTATCATGTCAACTTATCTAAATGAAAAAAGACTGGGTCAATTATTTGATACCAGGTGAAATAAAAGCAAAGAAACTGGGACAAAAGTGTAAACCTTCTTAGATAAGGCTTGGATAGGACATTAAAGACCTCCCCCCTTCCGCTTAAACACATGACGTTAAACACAAGATTCAACTTGAAGTCTTAATCATAACTATTTTTTCCCGGAGAGAAGAAAGTACGAAATTTCTTCAAATTGAAGAAAAATCATTTGAATCTCCCTTTTGTCACAGAACTCGTCCCCGGAAACACGTCCTCGCGGGCGCACGTCCCCGGAAACCTTCATCAAGCACATGAGAATGTGCCTGTGTTGTCATAATACCCCGTCAGATTATAACATTCCAGAGGTAGGGCCGAGATCTCGAATCTTTTTCAGATTTTTTTGTTACTGGTGTTGTTTTCTTAGCGTCCTTTCCCTTACTTATCAATGATTTCGACCACTAATGATTATATGACTTATAGAAGACCATCGCAAGTCTTTACATTACAAGCCANATGTGCCTGTGTTGTCATAATACCCCGTCAGATTATAACATTCCAGAGGTAGGGCCGAGATCTCGAATCTTTTTCAGATTTTTTTGTTACTGGTGTTGTTTTCTTAGCGTCCTTTCCCTTACTTATCAATGATTTCGACCACTAATGATTATATGACTTATAGAAGACCATCGCAAGTCTTTACATTACAAGCCACGGCGGGACATTTGTGCTGGCAGCGAGACGGATTCGTTTTTAGAATCTGCTTCAGTTAAGGGGTTTGCACGGGCAGTCCACACAATGTGTGTGTGTAACCGATTATTATTTCCTGGTAAATGTGGTGGATTTACCATTTGGTTCACCTATAACGATATATCGCTAAGTATGTATATAAATCAATGTCTTGCTTGTGGTGTATAGTCGTCCTTTTGCCTCAAAAGCGGTTTTTGTGGGATTTTGAAGGAAACTGAGTTCGCCGTTTACTGTTCTAATTACTGCGAACTAAGTATCCTACAAAATCGCTCACCAAACCGCTTTTGAGGCAAAAGGACGACGATATACCACAGGTAAGGTAATTCAACATTTATTTAACATTGATTTATAAACATACTTAACAATTATTCCACGAGGGCGCGTTGGATATGAGATGAAAGATAGCCAACGAGGCGCGTAGCGCCGAGTTGGCTATAATCATCTCATATCCAACAACCGCGAGTGGAATAATTGTTTTATTAAAAACGCCCACAAAATCTCGCTGAATCTCCCCTAGAACAAACTAGAACAAACCGGAAAAGACAAGGGACTACCGCTATTCACATGTCACACGTCTGTCAAACCTGTCAACGCGCGAACGGACTCGCCTGGACTGCATGAATGAAAAATCAAAACATTGTAGCGATGAACATTAGTTTTTTAAAAACTCATCGGGATTCTAGGATTTTCCTCAGCAGAGCAGCTAAAAAAAACCTGGCAGATAATGTGAAGGAAAAGAATTGACAGCCATAAAGTGACAGCCGTCGAAATAACTGTGAATTTGGATTTTCGGTGCAGTTATAAAAGTAAGAACAACGAAGAAAAACTATTACCTCGGTCGCTTGTTATGAAGTTGGTTGAAGCTACAAGCTGGTTTTGCTGAACAAGAAAAGAAGCTATACTGCCGCCTCGATTGCTCTAGTGAATGGCTGCATAGCCTGTATTTGTAGCTGGTTACTTTTTAGCTTGTGATTTATATTCTTGATGTCGGATAAACAAGCCGCAGTTATCTATCGGCGAGTGACTCGATCGGCGAATGGCTTCGCGATCATGAAGAAACAGCACTTGTCTTCTTCCGTAGCTGGTCAAGGTACTTTAGTTCCATGTGTTTTTCGACAAACTTTCAAACAAGCTCTTGTGGGTTTTTTGTTTGTTTTAGTCTTTTTTCCTTCGATGAAGTTGCATTTCTAGTACGTCTAAGAAATGAATTAAAACAATTTGCTTCTGGCGCCGTTCTATCCTTCGCGAAAAAAAATCTCAGCTAGCTTCCAATTTCAAACTGACGCGTACACCGACCATATATGGAGAGCATGGTATAATAGAGGATGTTAGCATCGACAACGAGTACGAGTTCTAGAACGAGATCAGCGATTTTGCGTACTGCGCATCCCGTCTGCGCATCTCCACGTTTTCAAGTCGTCCAGTCAAGTTGCACTACGACGAGTTCTTACCAAAAACTCGAAGTGGGTACAACGACTGGGAAGAGCTGGTTTTCAAAGGTAAATTCCGATCGTTTAATGCAGTTTCTTTTCGTTTCTAGCCTCTCTTTATCATCTTGAACATTCCTTATATTATGTTTTATGTAAAATACTGCTTTTGAAGTCGAGGAGAAGCAACCGAACGCGATATTTTCTACACAGAGTAAATTTGCATTGTTACCCGGGACTCCACAGGCCTCTCAGGCTCACGAAATAACCCCGAAAATTGCCATTATTTGGTCGAAAATATCCCAAAAGTCGAAGATATCAATAAAGAATACTTACTTCTTTATCCAGTGTGGTTGTTGTGTTGAATTTGATGGGTTTTAGCGTGTTTTAAGACCGCGACTAACCATGTAACTGAGTAACAAGCAGTCTTGAACGTTTTTTAGAGTATTTTTTGTTTTCGAAATTGTTGTGGAAGCGCTACCTCTACTCAAATTTGGCGCCCAGTCACGCGGAATCCCATAATTTTATTTTCTATAAACTCGATTTCGGTGTCATCGCTAACATAGAAAGCTGCGAAAACGACTTCGAGTACGAGTACGGCTTGAAGTCGTTCTCGTACTCGTACTCGTTGTTGATGCTAACATCCTCTAATAGCTCCTATTGTACAGACAAGAGTGTTTTACTGGAAAATATACCACTCGTAAAATTCATAAAAACTACATCCGGGACCTGAGTGGCTTATTTTCCATAATCTCACACGTGAGTTTATCGATGACGTAATTTTCGTCGTTTCCCTCTATTATTTTATCGACGTCTTTTTGTCTGTATAATAAAAAGAACATTACACGGCGGCTTGAAGATATGAATTTTATTTTACCGTGGCAAAAACAATATGCTTTGCCACTCGAAAATAAAATTCATATCTTCGCGCCACCGTGTAATATCCTCTCTATATGCCATAACGGCTAAGCCAATGAAAATGCTAGAATTGCGTTATCCAATGATTCAGTTTTTAATAAGTAGAGATATATCGTTATAGGTGAACCGAACGGTAAATTTAGTACATTTACCAGAAAATAACAATCGGTTACACACATACATCGTGTGGTCCCCCCTGTGGGGTTTGTTGATACATTGTACACGCGACAACAACGGATTATGAGCCTTGTTCTTTTCAAGTTCCGGCTACTCAAAAGATGAGTGGATCTCAGATCTTTATCATTGCAATTATTTGCGTTTTCTTAATAGCGGTAACGGTAAAGCAGAGTAATGCTCAGATAATGCTATCTATGGTTTGACTAGATCGAAAGGCTGCAAAGTTTGTTGCAAGAATATCTGGGTGACGATACACGATGCTGATGGGCCTCACCCGATTGTTCGGAGCACTGAATTTTTTTTTATTTGGGTAGCAAGGGTGACGCAGTGGTGAGAGCACTCGCCTCCCACCAATGTGGTCCGGGTTCTAATCCCGGCGTGGACGCCATATGTGGGTTGAATTTGTGTTGGTTCTCTCCTTTTCTCCGAGAGGTTTTTCTCCGGGTGCTCCGGTTTTCCCCTCTCCTTAAAAACCAACAATTTCAAATTCCAATTCGACCAGGAATCAAGTAGACGAAGAACCACTTTGTGGATGTGCTACCTCCAAATCATTATTTTTTTATTTATTTATTTTACCCTGGAAAGTTCTTACGTGGCGGGGTTTAGACCCCAGAAGGTCTTTCCGTTTGTTAATATCATGAGAATCTGCTCGTTTCGTTGCGACTATTCCACTCAAAGTTGCAACAGCAGAAATCTCCTTCTGCAGCAGTGTAAGACACGCGACACGTAGAGACACATACTTGAATCTACGCTCTGAAGATGTTGCACTACTCTGTGTAGGTAACATCTTCGGAGGGAGGCCGGATTCCTGCCCATGTTGCTTCACTGTTCCTCTTGCTAACTAGGATCATATCCATTATCTCAGAGCTGCAGCTAAGAGATTCAGTCCTATAGATGTGATAACGCGAATATTGGCCATGGTTCTCGGTACACCATCATCTAGTTATCACACCTCGAATTGAGACGTTTAATCGTGTGAACACTCAGGGTCTTCAAATGTTGGTTCACGCGGTATCTTGCTCAATGGGATCTTGTTCAAAACTTGGAGGAGTCTCTGGAAGTGTTGTGGAAAGGTCACTTTGATAAAGCTGTTCGTTTGATGTATAACTTGAATTATTTGGTAAATTTTGTCCGTCTTCTATTTCGAAAGGTTCTGTTTTTGTTATCAAGCATTCCTTCTTTTCTTCTTTAAATATTTCTTGGGCACCACTAGTTTTGAGTTTCTTTCGTGGTACTTCATCTATGTTTTCTTTACTTTTCTTTAAGTCATCTTCACAAACATCCAAGAAAGAGTATTGCAGATCCAAGAAGGACTGAAAGATAACAGTTATTTTTTGTTGGTTTTTAGAAATGACAGTACTTAGAAACGAAATTAAGAATAATATTTTTTTTTCTGATTAATACTAGTTTTTAAAAATTTTAAGAAAGAATGTGATATAAAAAGTCAGTTCAAAGAAACATTTCACGAACTTTGCTTGACACAGTAATACAAACATTTCAGTGGTCAAGTTGTACTAAGTCGTATTATCACTGGACATCTCTTCTTATCATATCGCCCAATGTGAGGTAATCCAAGACAGTCTTCGAGTCCCGATTCCACGCTGTGGAATCCGGATTCCTTGTCAGTGGGATTGTATTCCGGATTCCAACTATTAGTGGTATTCCGGAATCCTCAAGCTGTATTCCGGATTCACCTCATTTGGGGTGAATCATACGAGTTTAAACACTAAAAGAAAAGAAATGATACACTCGTATAAAAGCGTAAGAATGTGTTTGGTCGTCATATCGCCATACTCACTTTTGTGTAAAGTCCATATATCTGGGATATTTCTTTCATCGTAAGCGAGTCGCTTAGAAGCTCATCAGAACGGATGAGTTCAGCCTGCAAGATAAAGCATTGTTCAAATGAGGAAACCAACTAATCAAAAAGTTAGGTCAACGATCAGTTAATCAAACTATTCTTAGGCTAGACAGTTAGATGCTATTTTGATCACTCATAGTAACTTAGTAAGTCCGTCCTCCAGCCAGTTGGTCAGTAAGTCAGTCGCCGATGTTATAGTAATCTCTCATTCAGTCATATGGTCAGTCCGTCAGTTCGTCAGTCAGTCAGTCAGTCACAATCAGTCAGTCAGACAGGCTGATTCAGTTAATCAGGCAGCTAGCCAATCATTTAGAAAGTCAGTCAGTGAGTAGTTACTCAGTAGCCAGTTTGCCAGCCAGTTGGTCGAGTAAGTCTGTCAGCTTGCCAGCACAACCGTCAGTCAGTAAGTCATTAAACCAGTCCTTCACTCATCCAGTTTGTCAGCAGTAAGTCGGCAGCAAGTGATTCAGTACTTAGTCATTTAGCCAGTTGGACAGTCAGTCGTTCGACTAAGGTCAGAGGTAATTCATTATTAACAATCATTTAGAATTCACGTAAACAGTAGTAGATAAAGAAAGCAGTCTGTCACTCAGTGCACCAACAGTCAACAGTCGGTAGTATGTTAGAGCATAATTAAGTTTAACGCTTCGTTTTAGTCAGAAGGCGGTCGGTCGGTTATACCTGATGAGTGTTAGGAATTGCGAACTTCATCTTCAGAAATTTTTTCAACACATTAACAGTAACTGCGGATGGACATCGGAGATAACGAGTCGGGAATATCTAGTTAAACAACAAAGATAACATAAATGATGCTTCAGTGTAAGAACTACAATATACCCGGTCACTATTATACGACTAAATAAATAAATAACCAACAACAGGAGCAGCTAGGAGCCTATGACCCGGCAACAAAAATTACTTTTAGTGTTGGTCAATCCAAAGGTCCTTCGTCGACCATAATATATAGATTTAGCCAGAGCTAAAAGTGAAGCTCTCGATAATATTTATAGTTTGTTCAAACAAAATATAAAATCGTGTAATACTAAGCGGTTAAGGCAACGAGAACGGTGAACAAACAACAGTAGATCAACTCTGCACGTGCAGCACAGTTGCTTCTGCCGTTGTTTTGCACGACTACAACGTGAAACTTCTAGAAACTTTCTAGTAAAAGGTTTATGGAGGAAATGTCGTACGAATTCTTGTTGACTTTTTTTTTTCACTGCCGCTCATTTCACCTCGCTGGCCGCTAGCATTTCCCATTTTCTCCCCGCCGCTACAAAATTTTCACGTTGTTCTTTCAGCAAAAAATGTCTCCCTTGTTTTTTCTCTCTCTTGCTAGCTCTCCGTCGCTGTTTTTTCTCGTTGATCTTCGCTGGCCTGTTGCCTACTTTCTCTTTTTCTCTGCCTTTCCCTTTCTCTATTTCCAAATTTGTGGACATAACAATTAATAGAAGCTTAATACTCGAGACAACATGGATACAGAAACAATTTCCTCTTTCTGTTTTTGTCTTTACTGACTCTTTAGTTGTCTCGCCTTTACAAGACGCGGGCGGCCATGCGATTTCCCGCCAAATTAACCTCGAGTTGCATTTGGGTTGCCATACCTGTTGATTGAGTTATTTTACATTGGTATGGCTGTGGTGCGGACGGACAGCGGGCGGGCGGACGGGCGGACGGGCGGACGGTCAAGTGATTACCAAAATTTATCAGATGGGTAGATTAGCACATTTTTTTAGGAATGGGGCTACGCTCGCCCGCGCTTCGCGCGCCCAGAGCTCCGCCGGCTATTTCTAATAACTATCTTGATGGAGCTACATATCTTCACGCTAACTGTGCTTTTACTTTTACATTATTATTAATGATATCATCATTATTTTTATAATAATAATAATTATTGTTATCATCTTCATCATCATCATCATCATTATTATTATTTTGTCAAATCATAAAGAGCGTTCTCACTCAAAGAAGCCATTGAAATGTATTGGAAAAAATTGTTCTAATAAGGAAAGAGTTCAACAATTGGTACCGCGCCGTTTCGCGTCAGACTTCACGCGAAAGCGCTCTATGGATATGCGTTAGAATGACCAAAAGGATATCTTAATGAGAAATACACTAACATCGCTTATTTACCGTTTTATTAGTTCTAAAGATGTATTGGAGCTCAGGATAGTTGGAACTGATGCTTTCGAGTGATACAACTGACAGCAAAAACCGCCTTTTGAACAAAAGACACTTTCTCACAACTGGTAAATGCGCATCAAGATCAGTGCAGAGGTTAGGAACAACAAGAGTAAATACTATGATGTGTCGGGCTTTGCAACTTAGTCAACAAAAAATCGATAGATATGTGGTGTTAAAGGAAACTTACCTGACGTTCATTCCAGTTCCTTTTTCTCCTATAAACAACGATCCATGGTTATAAAGTGACAAATTTAGGCGAGGATATTCTTGGTCAGTAACCATTTGACATGGCGACCATGTTAGTTAACAAAACCCATCGTTTTCGTAAAATGTGCTTGTATAAAGAGTTTTATTAGTTCCCAGGGTCGGGAAACACTTTTGTACCTTGTCTTGTCATCCAACATGGCCGCCGTGTCGTCAGATGCACGCCAGCAATGTTGTTGACGCAAGGGAATAAGCTCAAAAAACCAGTGAGAGATATCCGGGCATATATTGCCTTGTTGACGAATCTCTTTACGGTATGTTGCACTGTGACATCGGCACGAAATACAATATGGAAAATCTACTTTTCGCCATGACACGAAAAGCGGGAACGGATTTGAGAAGCCTTGACTATCCAAGTGTGCGTGTGCTATATCCTTTGAGCTAAGAACAGACTCACTTTAAGCAAGTGCATTTATTAGACTGGCCATTAGCCGGCGAACAAGCTCTCCACGGCGCTCTGGCCTCCCATCCCCGTGCCCCCGAGGAGAGAGGCTTGTTTGTAGGCTAAATGGCCAGTGTAATAAATCCTTTTGCTTATTTAACTACTTACACTGCTCATCCAATCGTCAATAAGACTAAGGTCTGAGATATGAACGTGAAAAGACGAACTGATACGAAAAGTACCTCCAATTAACACTACTCGAGCTGAGATAGCGCCTAACATACTAACCTGTAGTATTCTAGGGTGATGCATATTGGATCTTCCATGCTCGCCTCAACACCGTTTTTCTTTTTCGTTCCAGTATCATTCGGCATTTCTGGTTTAGGTTCATCTGTAAGAAAAAAAGACGAGAAGAACGTGAAACAAAACAAAATCTTTTAAGTCTTACGTTTTTATAGAGTAAAACATATTTAAACAAGACGAATGTTACATAGCTACAAAAAAATATAATAATACCAACTACACTGAATGAGAGAACGAATGGGAAAGAAAGTGACGTTACCGATCCCTGCAGTGGCGAGGAATTCTCCCCTTTCTTTTGAAAAATTCCGAATAATTTCGAAAGAAAACATTATCGTGTGGAGGCTATGCCGGAAAACGATTAATTTTTCCTGGATATCTTTCCTATAACCATAGAGCGACATTGATAAAGTGATAACTTCATTTCTTTTTTTGTGTTTTCACTCGTGTTCTTGTGCGCCAGATTCTTTCTTATGCGTACTCTTGCAAGCAGGGGAAAGAATAGAGCTGGATAAAGATGTCTGTTTCACAGCAGCCAACAGAAAAAAGACCTTTAGGTCACCTTAAAATCTAGGAAGTCTGATTAAGTTTAAATGGGTATACAGCTATTTCGAGAAAGGTTGTCGGAAAAAGTGCACGCCACAATCCCGAAAGGCATTATGGATGGTTTTTAGTTCACTGTTTTTCAAGAAATTTTAAAGAATGGCAAGAGAGGCCATGGACGTATGTTTGCATGGGCTAAAGGAAAGTAACAAAAGTAGGTTAAACAGCTACAGTGTCAGGAACAGTGTATTGATCATATCCCATATTACCTTTCGGGATTGTCGCGTGCACAGTTTTTCCGACGACCTTTCTCGAAATACCGTAAAATTCCGAAAATAAGCCCCTCCAAATATAAGCCCCCCAAACCGGTAACGCAAAAAACCCTCTGTTAAATCGTCCCTCCAAATATAAGCCCCTCGGGGGCTTGTACTTGGAAAATTGCCCTCAAATACAAAGTAAATCAAAGCAAAAACGGTAAATTTACTTCCAAATATAAGGCTAGCCCATTCGATTTTAAAACGCAAATTTCCCTCCGTAGATAAGCCCCTCCAAAAATAAGCCCCTCAAAAAGGACCTTTGAAAAATATAAGCCCTGGGGCTTATTTTCGGAATTTTACCGTAACTGTATACAGGTTGGAGTAAAATGGAAAATATTTACCACGCGCCACTGTGCTAATACGTGATGCCAGTTCTATAAGAACTACTTTCAAATACCTCCTTCTAGAAAGCAAATGCCAAGCTCGCGTTGTTAAATTATAAAAAATGTATTTAATGTATTGTATTTTTTTCGAGTAGAACAGACTTTTGACCTGTGTTTTCTTCATCTTTCACTTTATCTGTCTTCTCTTGGAATTCCTGACGGCGATTGAGTTCGTCTGAAAAAGAAAACAGATATCACCCTCCTCGCCTTTTTTCACTTCAATCTACTTGCGTTATATTACCCTGCTCTACATCAGGTCTGTTGACGAATTAATACCTTTATATGATTTGTTTCATCTTCATCTATCATTAACACCTCTAGTTAGTGAGACTATTCATATGAACGGTGTCAACAAAATTCCCTCTTTTGGTACTTGACCGTACAGTACAAAGGGATTCTAGCTTTTAAATCTGTTAGAGTCAGTATTTTGTTTTATTAAATGTAAATGTTTTTTCTTTGTTTTATTTTTTCTCTACAAAAATCTCAAGGTGATAATATATAAAAGAGTGATTTGAAAGTGTGGCCATTCAATGCCAGCATGGATGGCATTTTACTCTAACCTTGTACCATCATCCGTTTTTAACGCAAATGTCCAGTGCTGGCCACAAGATCCCTACTTTCCTTTTTCATCCTTAGTTCCACACTTCTCAGAGGTGTGGAAGTGTGGAAAAGTCTGACAAAGTAAGGATATTGTCGCACTTTCCCCCAGTCATGAACCCCTTGTCATTCTTTACTTAGTTCCACACTTCTCAGAGGTGTGGAAGTGTGGAAAAGTCTGACAAAGTCAGGATAATGTCACACTTTTCCCCTGGTCATACGAAACCACTGTCGTTCTTTACTTAGTTCCACACTTCTCAGAGGTGTGGAAGTGTGGAAAAGTCTAACAAAGTAAGGATATTGTCGCACTTTTCCCCCTGTTAAGAATCCCTTGTCATTCTTTACTTAGTTCCACACTTCTCAGAGATCTGGAAGTGTGGAAAAGTCTGACAAAGTAAGGATATTGTCGCACTTTTCCCCCTGTTAAGAACCCCTTGTCATTCTTTACTTAGTTCTACACTTCTCAGAGGTGTGGAAGTATGAAATAGTCTGACAGAGTCAGGATGTTGTCGCACTTTCCCCCCAGTCACGAATCCCTTGACATTCTTTCCTTAGTTACATTCCTATGTATGAAATGAGAATAAAGCGCAGTGGGAGTATTTGTTGGTTTTATTCCTGCAACTCGTTTTACATCTTTTTAAATGCTATTTTAAGTTTAGACAACAATTCTATGACTAGAAGATAATAGCCTTGTTTCACTGCCATCTGTTTGAATACCCGACCATAAAACAAGCCTACGTTTTCTCTGTCACGAAGTCCCCTTCAGTCCTTTATCTTCGTTTATTTATTTATTTATTTATTTATTTTTCAACGGAAACCTCAACAACGTCATCTCATCTATGGATTTTTATGTTTGAAATTTTTCATCTTAATGTGCCATATATGAGACGTCTTATTCTGGGTTTTTCTCCTTCCTATAGATCTTTTCGGCTGACTCAATGTCGTACCCAATTCAAACCCTTTGGGTATAAAACGTTTTGTTTTAGGAATTTCCGTATCATTTACATGTGAATGCCACAAATACAATACACAAAGAATCTTAACCCCAGGAGCTTTCAATTGGGTACAACAGTCAGGTCTCTTAAGATCGTGACAACGCTAAAAATAGGCAGTAAAGAATGCAGAGTATGTGCGTTCTATCTTCCTCACTTTAAGATCAACTTGATAAAGTTCATAAATGCTCAAATCAATTGTTATTGTTCTATTCCTTCATCAGGTTCACGACCTAAATTGGTCTAAAAATACACAGCATTCTGTATAAAGTAATCATTGTGACTTATCGGCCTAGAGTAGCTACCTGCAGATCTCTCTGTGGAAAAGGAGGATCACTGTTTAGGTGCGTGTTATAGGGTCGGCAATATTTATGTTATCTCTACGGCACGTTACAATACTAAACTATTTGAATGGTCCACCCTCCTCTTCGTCTTTAGAGAGTCACCCTTAGGTGAATTCTTTTTCGAGGTTTCTCGGCCTCGAGCCGCTCGCCTCCGAGCGTGATGTTGCTTCTTTTTCATAATTTATGTCCAGCATTTACATAACCTTAAAGAAGAGGAAAAACTGCGAAACAGTGGATATATGGCGTGATCTAACAATTATCAAATTTGAACCCGTACTGATAAAGAAGAAAGCTTGGTTGGAGATCGGATTTCTTAACTTTAAGTTTCTTTCAACAGCTGGCATTGAAACAATGGTTATATCTGCTATTCAAAATAAAAATAGTTCTTAAGGAAAAATGTAAAAAACCATACAGAAATAAAACCAAGTGCTCATAAAGCGCACTGAGCTTCTCGTGACTCAGGGAAAGTGCGACATTAAACTTAACTTATCAGACTATTCTACCCTTCCACACCTCCGAGAAGTGTGGAACTAAGTAAAGAATGACAAGGGGTTCTTAACAGGGGGAAAAGTGCGACAATATCCTTACTTTGTCAGACTATTCCACAGTTCCACACCTCTGAAAAGTGTGGAACAAGGTAAAGAATGACAAGGGGTTCATGACTGGGGGAAAAGTGCGGCAGTATCCTTAGTTTGTCACACTGTTCCACACTTCCACACCTCTGGGAAGTGTAGAACTAAGTAAAGAATGACAAGGGGTTCTTAACAGAGGGAAAAGTGCGACAATATCCTTACTTTGTCAGACTTTTCCACACTTCCAGACCTCTGAGAAGTGAAGAACTAAGTAAAGAATGACAGTGGTTTCGTACGACCAGGGGGAAAGTGTGACATTATCCTGACTTTGTCAGACGTTTCCACACATCTGAGAAGTGTAGAACTAAGTAAAGAATGACAAGGGGTTCTTAACAGGGGGAAAAGTGTGACAATATCCTTACTTTGTCAGACTTTTCCACACTTCCAGATCTCTGAGAAGTGTGGAACAAAGTAAAGAATTAAAGAATGACAAGGGGTTCATGACTGGGGGAAAAGTGCGGCAATATCCCTAGTTTGTCACACAATTCCACACTTCCACACCTCTGAGAAGTGTGGAACTAAGTAAAGAATGGCAAGGGGTTCATGACTGGGGGAAAGTGAGACAATGTCCTCACTTTGTCGGACTTTTCCACACTTCCACACCTCTGGGAAGTGTAGAACTAAGTAAAGAATGACAAAGGGTTCATGACTGGGGGAAAAGTGCGACAATATTCTTACTTTGTCGGACTTTTCCACACTTCCACACCTCTGGGAAGTGTAGAACTAAGTAGAGAATGACAAAGGGTTCATGACTGGGGGAAAAGTGCGACAATATCCTTACTTTGTCGGACTTTTCCACACCTCTGGGAAGTGTAGAACTAAGTAAGAAGTGAAGAAACTCTGGATTTCATGGCCAGGGCTGGACATGGCTCGTTTTTAAGACAAAATGAATCAATGTTTGTGACCTTTTTAATCAATTTTAATCACTTTAGTCTGAGGGCAGTATAGAACCAAATGGACCAAATGGTTGTTTAAACCATTTATTGAGTCTAGAAACGGTGGAAAAACCAAGAATTAGTGCTTTTCGTATCCGGCAAGTCAAGACTAGATGGTGATAACACAAAAAATACGATATACCCAGGTACTTAAAATTGTTTTTTACACGTACCAAACACCATCCCTGGAACAAGTTTGTTGACAATGTCTTGAAGAGGGCGGTCGGGTCTTAAGAAAAAACAAAAAATGATAAGTTAATTATAGATATAAAATCGAAAGTTTTGCGGTTTGAATTTCGTTTTTCTGCCTAAAGCAACGCTTTCAACCTCAGTTCATGTGGTTAGGGAAAACTAAAGAATCTTTGCTTCTGGGTCATTGGGTCCTATCTCCCGATCTCCCGCGCATAACGATCAAGAATTAATCATCGTTTGCGTTCTTTCAGAATCCTGATTTGCATAACTCCTTCAAGCATTGACTTTCCTGCACCCGACGGCTATAATGGACAATACATGTCGTAAACTTTTTAAGATTCACATTCTGGTCAGCTTAACGCAAACAACAAAATTGTCATCGTTTACTCGCTACCCTAAGCTTAGTTTGTTCATTTTATTTTTTCCTTTTTTTATTTAACTTCAACTTGAACTTTCGTCTGAATTAAGACATTCTTACTACAGTGAAACCTCGATATAACGAACCTCTATATAACAAAGTCCTCTATATAACGAAACCTCTTTATAGCGAACAGATTTTGCCATGCAGTCCCTTGAGCCTTCGTTATATCGAAGTTCCACTGTGTAATAAAGTTTGGAATGTTTTAGCGGCCCCGGATTTGTTAACTTCCGCGTTCATTATATTAAGAATACAGTTAGTTGACAATAGTCGTTGGGAATTTCGGGAGAAGCCTGCAATTTTACCGCCGGGTCAACTTACGACTCTAGTACTTCTATTTTAAGTAGTATGACTGCAAAGAACGTCAGTCTTACATTCTATTTCCTTTGTCACGGCCACCTTTTCTAAAACATCAGATGGTTTGATTTACCGTGACGCCATTAACAAACTTACTTTCGTAAATGATTGATCTCATATATTAACAAAAAATAATTCGACGTACATAAGTAGTCATTCTACACTCACCGAATGTGTAAAAGAGGTTTGGTTTTGTGGACTTCAGCATCACAAACAGGGCAGTGAAACGACGTTTGAAGATATTTTACGATACAACTGCGACAAACTGTAGGGGAATCGACATTAAACAAAAAAAATTTTAAGATGCTATTTTTTGAATAAAATTATCAGCCTTGATTATATAATAATACAGTTATTCGAGGCTGAACGTTGAGTAGCTTCCTTTAATCAACTTGACTACTACAAAAATTACCAAAATATGGAGATAAACTCCTTTTTCTCGCTAAACGGCAAAGCGCTGTGCCCTCTCAACACAGTCTCACAACCATACGTTGAGGTGATTCGATATCTGACTGCAAATGCTTCCCGAAAATTCTTTGCTTTGGGTCAGTTATCAGTTTCAACGAAGAGCTAACTAAAAAAGCAAATTTGTTAGAGTTCTCTTTTTAACCAAATGTTCCTACAGAGCACGCATTTCACGTTGACAAAATCATGTCAATTTTAGTTATAAATCGCACTAGATACACACTCAACTCAAGTTGCAACAAGCTTGGATTGAATGCTTTACAGGATTAACAGCGCCAACAGAGACAGCTCTTGATCATCGTTTTTAGTTCGTCGTGGCGAAATACAAGCGTACACTTACAAGAATGAAGGCACTCGATGATAGTCGTGGCGTCCACCAAATACCCACCACACAACACACACATGATATGAGGATTGAGTTGTTGTAAGGGCATCTTAAGAAGCGACATAGCTGGTGATGCAGTGGAAGATCACGGAAGTGAAACCTTTTATGATGATGCCTGAGGCCTACTTCCGTCTGTCTCAGATGCGCAGGAAGCTAATGATAACTGAAAATGGAAGCAAAATAAACGTAAGAAGTAGAAAAATTCAGCCTGCAAATCCATGCAAGGAAGTAGGATAAATATAAAGACACTGAACTGAAATTTCAAAGAAACATATAGGTACTTTACTAAAGGGAAGTGTCGATAGTTAATCAACACTAAACATACGAAGTAAAGGACAGTGTGGCCTGGCGAGTCCAAGGTCCGGTTCCTCTCACGTGTTGAGATTTGCAGGCCTGTGAAACATTCGCAGGCGCTCAAATAGAAATGGAAGTTTACGCGAAAATTGTGCTTGAAAAGGTTTTTCCTCGCCGCAACCATTTCTAAACGACTCTTCGCGCAATCTTGTTAAAGTAAGCGGTAAGTTATTTAGAAGACACCTATATTTAACACAATAAATATATCTGTAAAAACAATACTATCACCACGGATCTAAAACTATTGAAAACTAAGAGATATATGCCGGCCCCTCACGGCGATGTTCTTGCTCCAAGAACCATACTTTTTCGTTTGCTTCCTCATAATATGTTGTTGTGCATTTTCTCCTGTGCATGTTACCCCGGAAACTATGGGTTATAAACATCCCACTACATGCGCCATCTTAAAGAAGCTTGCTATGACACTGAGGGACTGCAAAACGGGAAAGCCTTGTAGCACTACAAAAGGGTTTTTCTCTGACGAAGGGACATAAACCCGAAACGTTTGGGTTGTTTTAAAAACATTTGACACTTTTTTGAAAATCACCTCATCAGCTACAGTATCCAAGCCTTGTTTAAGCCTACTCTACTCTAACTGTGTTCACAACTTCGCTTCAGTATCTTATACAATAAACTCTCTTAAGTTTCCGTCATGGAGACAGGAGCGTTTGAATTATCGGGAATCAAACAAAAAGACAAAAGAAGTGCAGGGATCAACACCAGATGTCTGTTTTAGGGGGGTGTTCGTCTTGATGAGGATGTCTTAAGAGAGAGAGTTAAAAACTCACGCCGAATACCTGTGAAATAGTTCGGTTTTGGCAGTGTTGGTTCTTCATTTATCATCCATCCCAAGGTAGTAACAGGGACGATAATCAATTATCAAACGGCTTTGGGAAAAAATCTTGACGAATAAATGCCCAGAAAAGAAATACGAAAAATTTATATAGCATTTCTTTTAAATGCGAGGCACTTTTTGAGTTTTCGCTTGCAAGTATGAAGGATACTAAATAATAGCATTTAGCTTAATGTAGAAATGTAAGGAAATATTTTTGTGGGATTGGATTGTTAAAAAAAGGTTTAAAGGTTTGTTTATAGTGGAAAGTGCTCGTAGCTTATCCAGCTAGTTTACAGGCATTCCACTCAAATAATTGTGAAACAAGTAATGCAAACATAACAGATTTTGTAGAAAGAGTTTGTAACAGCGAACAACAGTTATAAATGCACGTGTCTAACAAGCAAGAGCTGTGCAAAAAGAAGCACTCATGCGTTGGAATTAGACAACAGCTAACAATCATATCAACTGGTAAACTTAATTACATTTAAGTTTAGCCCGATATTGTGGAAATATGTTGGAGAAAAACAGAGCCAAACCGGGTACATTTAAGCGTGTAAAAATAGCCAATTTTCCTCTTTGGTCTTCCGTCGTGGTTTCTAGCCGACGTTAACGTTTGGTTCTAATCTTAGTTTACCGGCTAAATTTCTAAAGGTTCTTCTCGCACATCTTTCAGATTGTGTCTTCAGATTGTACTAGAAGAGCTGCTTTGTGCCGAGAACGGGAAATATGTTTATTGCGTCTCAGTGCGCTAAACTATGTCCGTTTATTTTTTTGATTCTCCTTTTCAAGATGAATTCCTTAACCTCTTGAAACATTTGGTAATAGAATTACATCGTCATCGTTAAAATATCCTGAAAATATTTTCAACCTAAACTTTACCGTGGGTCATCACAAAAGCACGCGATAATTGATCAGCCGAACACTAAGACTGATTAACTTTAAAAGAAAGCGGACTATTTTCACTGAGTATTGGTCATCTAAGTTCAAAAGATTTTCCACTATAATGTATTTCTTTGGTTACAGCTCTCAATATCCCAGCCTCTCCACAGTAAATGTTGAATTTCTAGTCGATTACTTGTTTTATTTAAACTATACAGTGAACTGGTGTAACGAAAACTTCAAATACCGGCTGGTGGTATTCGATGTTTTCCGACCAGTGCTTAGAAAATAACTCCGTTCGCTTAATTCTCTGACTAATATAATAGAAAGCCAGAATTTCTAGAAAATATAGAAGACCAAGGCAAATCAGTGGTTCAAGTCTGGTATGTAAATTTATCACAACGATATCCTGCGATGATATGCTCAAATGGTCACGTTGTCAGTAATAGCTTGAAATGCATGCCGTTAAAGAAATCGCCAGGTTTCGTGAAGTATTCCGGTAAAATTAAGCTTAAATTGGTCATGATTTTCTGTAAGTGGTAAGATAAATCTATTATCTAACGTAGGACAACAAATCAAAATTAAATAAGGGGAACAACATGTACAAATTACCTCATATTCGTGGCGGGCATTGTCAGAGCACACCGTCAAAGAGTTTCACGATGATGGTAATTATGCCACTGTCACGTGACAGCTCGTCCCAGCCTCTCCCGAATTTTGTTTTGCACATGGCGCAAATCATTGAAGACTAAATGAAATCAGGCTCTATTTTCGTTTATGGAAGCTGCTAAAATAGGGCCTGATCTCAAGTTCTCATGGCCCTAAGTAGCTGGTAAGAGGGTAGTTTAATTCTGTGAGTTTTACAACACTTAACACTGAATTGAAATAACAGAAACAAGTCATCCCGTGACCGCAAACCTATCTGTTGAAGGTTATTAACTAAGAGTAATCGGAGCTTAGGAGAGTACGTTCGATATGTTTTTTAGGCGTACAGGTAGCAGTTGATGGGGAAGGGTGGTTGCGATATAGATAAATATGATTATGGCATATTTTGAACGTAAGGGTTGCGTACAGCGAAACCTCTATTTAAACTGTTTAGCATTATAAGAAGGTTTTGTAAAGATATCGTATTGTTCGGTGTCAAGTGCTTGTAATCGGAGGAGACATTGGCCAGAGTGCATCGGGCGTGTAAATTATTTTACTGCCGCGATTACAGGGCGCAGTTGCTCAAAGGCCGATTAGTGCTTAACCCGGGATTCTTTCTTCAAAAACATTTCTTCGGATAATTTTCTCTGTTATTTTTAAGAGCATCCAATCATCAACTTGTTGACAAAATGAATTAAATTGAATTTACTGTTTTAAAAGCTTTTATATGGCGCGCCGTTAGTTTCAAAATTAATTTTTTCATTGGTTATAAATTTTAAATCAGTTTTTTCAGTTTTTTTCTTTCTTTGTAATCAAATTCAGCTACCGTAAAATTCCGAAAATAAGCCCCGGAGCATATATTTTTCAAAGGCCCTTTTTGGAGGGGCTTATCTATGGAGGGAAATTTGCGTTTCGAAATCGATTGGGCTAGCCTTATAGTTGAAATAAAAATTACCGTTTTTGCTTTGTTTTACTCTGTATTCGAGCTGAGGGCAATTTTCAAGTACAAGCCCCCCCGGGTGGGGGGGCGGGGAGCGTATATTTAGAGGGGCGATCTAACAGAGGGTTTTTTGCCGCTTAACCGGTTTGGGGGGTTTATATTTGGAGGGGCTTACTTTCGGAATTTTACGGTATTTTTATGATTTCTTGATTAAAGAACACTAAAACAGTTTTGGTGGACACCGACATCCCAGTCGAGGACCTATTAAAGCCCGCGAACGAAACTCTCCATTCTATAGATAGCACTTCTGGAGAAGGCTATAAATTGTTTGCCCTTGTCGTAACAGCAGAGGATGGAAGATTTTACTCCTGTGTAAAACCAGAGGCTGACGCGGATAAATGGTAAGCACCTTCATTGAGGATTTCATCAATTGATTGTTCTCTCTCTCTCTCTCTGCCTTTTTTTTTAAATCGTTTATAAACGTATTCAACTAGGCGGGTCATCCTTCTAGCCGAGCTGTTTTCCTGCTTCTTGTCAATGTTAACGGTTCGCCAATTTTTGCAAGAAATTCGATAAAAGGTTCGCTAGCCAAGGGGAGCCTAGCCGAACTCGGGAGGACAAGTGACTCTTCTAGTTCTCTTATGGATATAAGGAAACTAGCCGGCTCTGATACTTTTGGCACGTGTTATAAAGTGAAGTAACAGTCAACTATGCCTTTATTCTTATAGGGCTGTGTACGATGGCTTAAAAGTTAAAGAGTTTGTTATGACCGATGGTTTATTGCGCACCTTATCCGGAGGACAGGACCACGATCTTTATAATATCCTTTAAATACAGACTACACTAACCTACAATCATCGTCAAAAGTGTTGGGAAGGTTGCCTTTTTTACCTCTTCTTTTTCTTCCTCCCCCCACCCCTGGCCCAATGTTGATCAAAACGTTAATGTTTGTGCGCGCAATTGTTCTGTTATATCCCAACATTGAATAGGGGGGACGGGGGATATTTAGCAAAAGAGAAAACTCTGTTTTTTCAGGATTAAAACGGACTACTGTTAAGTTGTACAACCTTCCCAACTAATTTTGTCTGTGATTGTCTGAAAATTCTGGGTGTGGCAGTAAAAGGTCAAAAATCGACGACTTTTTGTCAGTAGAAACGTCTTCAAAAA